TGAAAGTCAAGATTACAGCTCTATGTCCCTTCTCATAGGCTGGGCTGAACTCCTGGCCTCTAGTATACAAATATCTTCATAAACTCATTCCCTACGAACAGTGAATAATAATTTGCAGTAAGATCATCTAAATCCAGATCCAAGAAAAATAAAATTATGTCTTCTAAAGAATTTGCTAATATATTTGATTTACATTAGATTATTAGAAAATAAAACACATGATCTTAGTAAAACAATAATTGCACTGGAATTAAATTACTACTTAACACTTCAGCAAAAACTTTGCCTTATAGTGGCAAGACTGAAAGGGCTTATCAACAGGGCCTCCAGACTGTTTCCCAAAGATAAATTTCAGATTTCTCTCTCCCCATAACCAGAAGAATTAAATGGCTTAATTTTCCAAAAATGATGTTTTCTGGTTCCAAAAGAAAAATATGAAGTCCAGAACACTTCCACCCAGGAGGCACTACATTTAAAGAGAAAAAAAAAAGATGTATTCGAGGAAAAATTTTCTGACTTAGTGCCTGTTAACTTAGAACAAGGAACAACTGAGTTAATTTTATTTTCCTAAATTGGATAAAAATCTTTCATGTCTGTGAATGCAGTGGCTCAGAGCCTGCGCCTCTCAACCACCACTCTTGTTTAGAGGGTAACAGTGTGAGCAGTTTCGTTTTGGACCTCCACTGTGGTCAGTTCCCTCATCTCATTGGTGGATTCATGCATCACTGTTACTAAGGAACACACAGGGGCCTCAGAGTAAGATCCGAGGCAGCCCAAGTCTCATACCCTGCACTGTCTTCATCTAACAGGGTTGTATTTAGTTCCCCAGAAGGCATTTCTAGGTGCCAGTTGCACACAAGGATCACATCTCTAATATTTGATTATATTCACAGTAAAAACAAACAAACAAACAAACAAAAACTTTTCATGTTCAGAAAGTTTCCTTTTTATAGAAATTTTTTCACTGAAAATTACTGATGCTTGAGATAGCTTGAGAGTTGGGGGATGAGCATGCTTCTTCCAGTGTCTTCAGTGAATGCTTCCTCTGGGTCACTTTTACTTGAGCTTGACCTTGTTTGTTCTTACCACAAAAGCACATCTAAATGTTTTCCCCCAGGAAATTATCTTGCCTGTACATTAATATTTCCAGGATAGCATAAACACATGTGCTAAAATTCAGTCTTTGCCGTAACTTGACTTACATTTTAAAAATACAGACAAAGAAATAAATTTAAAAAAAAAACATGCAATAGTTACGATTGCTTTAACCAAAATTTGTATTTATTAAATGGATTTATTTCTTTACTAACAGAAGGGAATTCTTCACTATTCATTTGATTAGATATATGAATTTTCAAAATAGATTTTGAAAATTTGGAAGCAAAGATATATAAATCTATAATGTAACTCTGGATGTGAAGAGCCGACACCTGACTTCTGTGTCCATTGCAGAATAACCCCATCATTTGAAGGACCTTGTGCTAACACTGCTCCAATGTTTCATAAATTCTAGAGCAGACACCAAGCACAGTTCTCTTCCTGCTAGGAGAATCTGGTAATTCAAATAATAATCCATTCTAGAGAGAATAATCTGAGGCATACAGCAAAAGCCATTTGGTTCCTTAATATTTTGTGCATTCTTTTTATAGTAAAGTGCTGGTAAAAAGAAGACTAATTAAGCTTTTCAGTACAGGAGGTATTTCCTACCTTCTTGTCATGGGGATGAGACAGCATGGTGTTGTAAATGAATTCAGAAACAAATTTAAGAATCTCATGCCATTTGTACCAAATTCCTGGTACAAATGTATTTTTCACTGGAAGAGTTTGGTTTTAAACTTTGACTTTATTATGTTAAAAGAAAAAGTGAGGTGGCTAATTTGATAATGGGGAAATGATCATTTAACTGAAAATCATTTAATTGCAGACTATGCTTCTCACACAAGAGTACTTTTAAGAGTATAGAGAATTAATCAACAGATTCAGAATTTTAGCACTATAATGGGTTCAGCCTCAGAAGAGAATATTTAGTACTTAAAGGAAACCGCTGCCTTTGTAATTTAGCAAATTATTAGGATTTCAACAAGGAAAAGCTAGTTAAATTATAGTATTAATCTCCTTTCAGGAACAAATTAGCCTTCACAGGATCGCCCCAGTTTCAGCAAGGGGGAAATTTTTAGAAAAATTATGATCATCAATTGTGTTTATAGCTGGGCTGGGATTTGTAAAAGTCAAGTCCCTGGAAATCCACATTAGAATGAGGCAGCCTGAACTTAAAGGGTTAAAAGTTATTGACTTCTTGTTGTTACCAGATTCTCAATACATACAACTGAGAATTCCATGAGACACAAACTTGTGTGCAAGCATCTTTGTTAATTCACTTCATGTTCATCTCTGAGCCCTCATTTGCCTGATGCCAAAAAATAGAAAGGAATGAAATGCAAATCTGAACATTTCTAGGCAAACCCAATCAAATTTAGCTTCTTCCCAGTCCCGTCAGGCTTCAAGCGTGGCCACATTTATGTTCTTCACCTTCATCCTCTCGTGCCCCTGCAATTGATTAAACTTGGGGGTCTTACAGGTATATTCTCGCACAGAGGCTGGAGGTGTGGGGTCCATTTCTCAGTGTGGAATCAGCTCTGTTCTATGCTGCCTCTTCTTCAGAACACAGATGAATGTAGTGATTGGTGATTGGACCATCTCCAGTCCAGGGTCCTCTCGTGGCTCACACCTGCCCTCCATCCCTTTTGAGCTGCCCTGAGATGCAACCACCTCCTCTCCTTAATCCAGAGAGAGACCGTCTGCTCTCAACATGTGCTCCACAGATGTGTCTCCTCCCTCCTGGCCAAGTAACCCCTCTGCAGCCCTGGGTCCTTTGCTCCTCCTCCTCAGCTAACCTACACACCCCACCCATTCAAGGTCACCCCCAGCAACTTACCTGTGCCACACTGGGGCTACAGGAGTCCTCCCAACCCTCTCCCGCCCAGCAAACCTTGTCACTGTTCTCTGTGGCCCCCCACTCTGGGATGGTACAGGAGACTTTGCTGAGTCTTGCTCCACCACTGCTGTCATCCAAGAAGGGCAGCTAAGCTTCTGTCGACTTCTGTTCTCCCATCTCCAAGGGGGATTTCATCCTCAGCGCCCCTTATCGATAGAGGGGGGCTTGTCCAGGAGGACTCCAGGGATCAGGTGGCAGCCCCCACAGTGCTGCCGTGTCTCTTGCTTCTTCTCCAAACTGCATCCTTTCTTTCTCCAGCATGGAGGCTCTGTAATGACAGTGGAGAGGATAAATTGTTTTCTCCCTAATTCTCTTCCAAATATATTCCATCTTTTACCTGGATCTGTGCCCTCTAGCCTTAGACAGTACCTGTTTGCTGCTGCTTCGCTGTTCCATGCTGACAACACTTGGTTGGGTCAAATAACGGCCTGAGCCTCTCCCCAGCGGGAGGAGTGCAAAAGCTTTATCCCATCGCCTGTCAGGAGAAGGGATCCTTTCCTGGCACAAGCGAGAAATTCTAATTAGACATGACTTCTTGTATTGGACCTACTCAATCTGGGCAAATTGGTCTCATTTACTGTGATAATATTGGAAATCTTCCATACACAAACAGACATACACATAACCAACCTTTCAAAATGAAAGCCATTTTCTGTGCCTCAATAATAAAAATATCAAATCTGTTGTCTGGTTATCCTTTCTCTCAGGGAGAACACATCACTGCTCACCAGTTTCTTGTACCAAAAACATGTTTCTATATCTCATACACATTTTTGGTCTTAAGTCGCCATTTTTTGTTCTGTTGCTCTCAAATCAATTTCCAGCAAAGCTGAAGGAGTCCCATTGTTTTCCAAAAACCAAATCATCTTTTCATCCAACATTGGGGGTATGGCTAGTAGCTGGACTTCTAAGAAGGCAAAGTTATGTCCATTTATTCTAGGCTCATTTCAGATATGGCCAGGTTCTCCTCTACCTCTCTGGAAGGATGGAGAGAAAGTTGGCCATGCCTGGGAGACTGAGTGTGGAGGATTACAGGAGGCGGGATGGGATGTTGGTGGAGGGAGTATAATGTTAGCAGCACATAAAAAAGGCAGATATGGAGTAATAGGCTTCGGAGTCAGGGGGGCAGGTGACTCCTGTAGACAGGTTATTGAATATCTTTGTGCCTAAATTTCCCTGGCTATAAAATAAAAATGCTGACCTCCCTGGAGTTTCATGAATTGGAAGAGATCTCAAATATATAAGCCAGTTGCATGGGGCCTGCAAAGAAATGGTGCTGGGGAAGAGATAAACTCATTTTCCCCAGTTCATCTCTTCCCCATCAGGCTGAGGGCACATGCTTCGGCCTGCCTAAGTTGCCAGGAATACCCCTGCCATCTCCCAGAAGGTCAAGAGTATCTCCCCAATGTGGCAAGCTATTATTGATGTTCCTTGTGCAATATGTCAGTGTTGACCCCCACACCCTGATTTGCATTCTCTTCCTTTTTCTAGCTTCTCTCCCTAGTTTTAGGGAAGATCCCAGGAGTAAGTGGGCTGCAAAAGCTCAGATTCCCAGGCCTTTCCAAGCTGGGGACTGGAGACCCAGCAGAGCGCAAGGGGTAGGGGAGGCAGTTATGTCCATGGAAGCATGTCCATTGAATGCATCGATGGAAGTTGGCATTGTACCAGGAGAAAGAGCTTCCTCCTTGTGAAGGGATGTCAGTTCCAGATTCCCGTATCCCAAGAAGCAATTTACACACCGGTTTTGTCATGTCTGACACTTCCTGACCATCCCCTTCTTTGCTCCCTGAGAGTGGAGCTGTCAAATAGTTCACTGCAACCAAGAGATGCTTTAGTGAGTTTTACCTGCTCCCCTACCCCCTCAAGGCTTCCCAGAGCTTGAGGCACAAAGCGGGGGTGAGAGAAAAGCATACAGTGTGAGTTGATGGTGATAAGAAACTATGTAAATGTGACTTCTAATGTAGGACAGGATGAAGTTGTTTTTTTGATCTCATATTTCATGCAGGGCTGGGCTGAGGATGTGGCAGGCATGGCATATGCCCTACGTTCACTGCCAGAGGGGGCTCCCTGCCTGCCACAGGTGAGAGCCAGCTCTGGGGTGCCTGCCCCCATGGGGGAGGGGGGGTGGAGGGGGCCTGCTGGGGGGACTGGGTGGGAAAGGACTGGTCCCCAGGAGGACCCTGCCACAGAATCCACAACCTCATTGCGTGAATGTAATTTTCTCAACTCAAAATGAAATTGCAACAAGTGAAACCCTTACATTTGTAGATTTTTCTATTGCACTCTCTTCTCCAGGACACTACAGGACAGTATACATCATACATGCAAATGTCTGAAAATCTGGGCCTGCATTCTGTTAAGTGAATCTGAATGCTGCTTCATCCAGATATTACAAGGACATTTTAATATGATGAATTACCTGTGTTCCATTAAGGCTGACGACCAGCAACCTGAAACAAACTTTATGTCCTACTTTATAAATAAGACATTGAATTATGGCCCTGAACATTATACAGTTTGACCTTAGTGTTTTAAAAAAAAAAATTTTTTTACAATGTGCACTCTTGCTTTTCAATGTCGTATTTGCATTTATCTACCCTGCCTGTTTCTGACGAGTCCACTCTTTATTGTTCAGCCAATGACTTAGTGGCACGTTCAGAAACTCACCTCTGTGCCCTATCTGCAAATTCAAAGCTCTTTTTAGAAATCACTCCCACACAACCCATTCTCATTTTCTACTTTTTCACAAGTTTTTTTTTTTTTTTTTTTTATCTATTTCTCTTAATGTCACTGGTCCCATCCGCCTGTCCCAAACCTCTGTATCTTGAAGCATCAAGTATCTGCATCACGCAGATGACACTCAACTTCAAGTACCGAAAACACTGTCACAAAGGAAACCTAATGCGGTTAACTGATTAACCCTGAAATCTTGGTCCTGTGCTCAAGGCAAAAAATGCAGTTAAAAAGTTTAAATGCACGGCTAACATATTCAACCCATTCTGCACCTAGGTCTTGGTAACGCAACCTTTTTGGCTCCTGTAAGCAGCCGTCTGAAAACGCAAATGTACCATTTGCATGTAGGGTTTTCTTCCTGTTTCTGACGCCCTTCACCTTCCCTGTTTTTGCAGTGGTCAGTTTATATCCGAGCCGCTGTCCGGAAGGAGAAAGGCCTGCCCATCCTCGTGGAGCTGCTCCGGATAGACAATGACCGCGTGGTGTGCGCGGTGGCCACGGCACTGCGGAACATGGCCTTGGACGTGAGAAATAAGGAGCTCATTGGTACGTTCTCTCTGAGTCACAGCGTCGCAGCTGTTACTGGAAAATATTTTCTCTCGGGGTAGGTGTGGTGGAACCCATAAGCACAGCATAGGCTTATGCAGAAGCCGTGCATTTATTAGCAGCCCCGTGTTTTCTGCTGTCCTTCTAGTTTAAATCCAGTGCACTGATTTACCTTTTAGAATTTAGAGGAAAATGCGATGCTTGTTGACGTTTCTTTTTTTCTTTTTTTTTTTGCGGCAGAGTCAGGCCTCAAACCACATCTGTCTGACAATAAGCCCATCCCCTGTCCTTTGCTCTAGCTGGTTAAGAGTGAGGGGTTCTGAGTCAGGGTTCTTGGCTCTGCCATTTTCTGACTCAGTGGCTTTGGGCAGGTTGCTGAACCTTACTGTACCTGACTTTCAACATGTGTCAAATGGGGCCACAAAGATCTCCACCTTGTTTGCTTGTAGAGGGGATTAAAGAATTCAAAAATGAACTAATATATGTAAAATACTTACTGCTTGACCCATGCTATGCGCTCAATAAATGTTAGCTGGTATTATTACCATTACCATGTTTATTATCACTGTTATTACTGAGGAATCCTCAACAATACTGGTTGAAACTTATCATTTGACAAAGTCAGTAAAATTAGGCCCAGAGATGGGAGATGTATTTCTTAGAAGGGCACGAAACCAGATAATTTTTTTTTCTAAAAAAAAAAAAAAAAAAGAAAGAAAAAAAAGAATGAAGGAGAGGAAGAAAGAGAAAGAGGAAGAGGGGGAGAGAATGGGGGTGTTGCTTTATTGCCCGGGCTAGAACGCAGTCTAAAAATGGGTATGCCTATAATTGTGCTTAATAATAAGAGACATGAAAAAAAAATGAGGGAAGAAAATAACAAACAAGCAGCCAACCAATATTTCATTGAAACCTGTAAAATAGATGTGATGTGGTACTGATAAGAGTGTATATTTTGTGTATTTAAAGTGGAGAGTTCTATAAATGTTAATTAAGTTTACTTGTTCCGGATCTGAGTTCAAATCCTGGATATCGTTGTTAATTTTCTGTCTCATTGATCGGTCTAATATTGATGTTGAAGTCTCCCAATATTATTGTGTGGAAGTCTAAGTCTCTTTATAAGTCATATATATATGGGTATTCCTATATTGGGTGCGTATATATTTAGGATCTTTAGCTCTTCTTGTTGCATTGATCCTTTTATCATTATGTAATATCCTTCTTTGCTTCTTTTGATCTTTGTTGCTTTAAAGCAACTCCTGCTTTTTATTTATTTATTTATTTTTGCTCTCCATTTGGTTGGTAAATCTTTCTCCATCCCTTTGTTTTGAGTCTTTGTGTATTCTTGCATGTGAGATGGGTCTGGATGCAGCATACCGATGGGTTTTGGCTTTTTTTGCCTGTCTGTGTCTTTGGATTGGGGATTTAGTCGTTTTAAATTTAGAATTAATAATAATATATGTGAGTTTAATACTGCCATTTAATGTTAGCTGGCTGTTTTGCCTATTAGTTGATGTAAATTCTTGATTATATTGATGCTCCTTACTTTTTGGTATTTTTTAGAAAGGCTGATACTGGTTGTTCCTGTCTATGTGTAGTGGTTCTTTCAGAAGCTCTTGTAAAGCAGGCCTGGTGGTGATGAAATCTCTGAGTGCTTGCTCGTTCACGAAAGATTTTATTTTTCCTTCGCTTATGAAGCTTAGATTGGCTGGATGTAAAATTCTGGGTTGAAAGTTCTTTTCTTCAAGGATGTTGAATATTGTCCCCTACTCTCTTCTAGCTTGTAGGGTTTCTGCTGAGGGATCTGCTGTGAGTCTGATAGGCTTCCCTTTGTGGGTAACCTGACCTTTCTCTCTGGCCGCCCTCAGTATTTTCTTCTTCATTTCAACCCCGGTGAATCTGGCGATTATGTGCCTTGAGGTTGGTCTTCTTGAGGAATATCTTTGTGGTGTTCTCTGTATCACCTGGAGTTGAATATTGTCCTGCCTTGCTAGGTTGGGAAAGTTTTCCTGAATAATATCCTGAAGCGTATTTTCCAGCTTGGATTGATTCTCTTCATCACATTCAGGTACACCTATCAAGCCTAGATTAGGTCTTTTCACATAGTCCCATATTTCTTGGAGACTTTGCTCGTTCCTTTTTATCCTTTTTTCTCTAATCTTGTTTTCTCGTTTTATTTCATTAAGCTGGTCTTCGACCTCTGATATCTTTTCTTCTGCTTGATCGATTCAGCTGTTAAAACTTGTGCATAGTTCGTGAAGTTCTCATGTTTTTCAGCTCCATTAATTCACTTATATTCCTCTCTAAATTGTGTATTCTTGTTAACATTTCGTCAAACCTCTTTTCAGAGTTCTTAGTTTTTTTGCATTGGGTTAGAACAAGTTCTTTTAATTCACAGAAGCTTCTTTTCATCCACCTTTTGAAGGCTGCTTCTGTTAATGGAACACACTCGTTCTCCATCAGGCCTTGTTCAGTTGCTGATGAAGAACTGTGATCCCCTGTAGAGGGAGAGGCGTTCTGATTTGGGGTATTCTCAGCCTTTTTAGGCTGTTTTCTTCCCTTCTTTATAGATTTATCCATCTGTGGTCTTTATAATTACTGTCTTTATAATTGGGTTTCTGAGTGGACGTCCAACTTGTTGATTCCCAGTGCTAAAATCCGAGCAACCCACTGCGCCGGCCAAAACAGCGGTGTTATGATTGACAGTGCTTTTCTGACTCTGCACCAAGAACTGCCACACCAAGACAGCGGCAAAACCACCTCGCCGGCTGCAAGAGTCACGCTGGTGACCCATGGGGCTCCTCCGCTGGGAATTTCCTGGTGCTTGAGCAACAAAAATTCGTCTGAAAGTGTGGCATCCTCTCATTCTCTGCGCTTTCACTGGGAACTACAATCCTGAGCTGCTAGTGATCAGCCATCTTGGATCTCTCCGCTTGTTGACATTTCTAATCCTTGCAAATTGAAAAGGACCTCAATGCTCAGCACTTGATACCATTGTCCCAATCCTCTGAATCTCTGGCAGGCTGTTTGTTTGTTTCCCATGCGGTGAACAGAGGAATTCTGATGGATATACATGACTTTTCTTCTCTATTTTAAGTTTATTTTGCATAAGACCATACTAACCCTATAATCCTATTCTTTTAAGAAATCATTTCTCTTTAATTTGCTGTTCAAGAAATACAGAGATTTCTTTATTGACAAGGCATGGAAGAGGTAATACATTCATCTGTCTATTCAACAAGACTTAGGGCCTGCTTTGTGCCAGGCCTGTTGGCCCAGAGATTAGATCAATAAGCAAAACAGACAGGAAGCCCTGTCCTTGTGGAGTTTACATTCAAGAGAAGGAGATGTTCAGTCAGCAAACTAAACAAATGAATCACAAAATGGAACTGAGTAAAGGGTGATCAGTGAGATTGCAAATTTCTTTTTAATTGAGATGATATCACATAACATACAATTGACCACTTTAAAGTCTACCATTTTAGTGGCATTTAGTATATTCATAATATTGTACAATCACCTGTGTCAACCTTCAAAACATTTTCATTACACCAAAGGCAGACCATGTGTCCATTCGCAGTCACTTTCCAACACCATCCCCAGCCCCTGGCAGCCACCACTCTGCTCTCTGTGGATCTTCCTATTCTGGGTATTTTGTACAAATGGAATCGTAGAACATATGACTTTTGTGTCTGACTTTTTTCACTTAGCATGAGGATTGTATTTCTTTAATGGTAAACTAGTAAGTTATAATTATATATATTCATGGGCCACAAAGTGATGTTGTGGTATACAGGTTGAGGGTCCCTGTTCCAAAAGTCCAAAATCTGAAATGCTGCAGAATTTGAAATTTTTTGAGGGTCCACATGATGCTCCCTCCAATATGCATTTCCAATTTTGAATTTTTAGATTAGGGATGTTCCGCCAGTATTCTTAACTGGTATGTATTCTGCAAATATTCCCAAATCCAAAAAAAAATCTAAAATTTGAAACACTTCTGGTCCTAAGCATTTTGAGTAAGGGATCCTCAACCTGAGTGTATACAATGTAAACTGATTCAATCAGGCTGATTAACATATTCAACTCCTCAAATAAGTATCTTTTCTTTGGTGAGAACATTTGAAAATTTACTCTTAGCAATTTTGAAATATAAAATACATTATTATTAACATAGTCACCTTGATGCACAATAAATCTCAAAAAACTTATTCCTCCTAAGTGAAACTTTGCACCCTTCGACCAGTATCTCCTTATTCCTCTTACCCTTCAGTCTCTCATAACCACCATTCTACCCTCTGCTTCTACAAAGTCTTTTTTTTCTTGAGGTAGGGAGGGATGGAGTCTCACTCTGTCACCCAGGCTGGAGTGCAGTGGTGCGATCTCAGCTCTCTACAACCTCTGCCTCCCGAGTAGCTGTGATTACAAGCACCTACCACCACACCTGGCTAAATTTTGTATTTTTAGTAGAGACAGTTTCACCATCTTGGCCAGGCTGGTCTTTAACTCCTGTCCTCATTATCCACCCACCTCAGCCTCCCAAATTGCTGAGATGTGGTCTCACTCTGTTTCCCAAGCTGGAGTTCAGTGGTGTGATCCTGGCTTACTGCAACCTCTGCCTCCCAGGTTCAGACAATTCTCCTGCCTCAGCCTCTCGAGTAGCTGGGACTACAGGCAAGTGCCACCATGCCCAGCTAATTTGTGCATTTATTTAGTGGAGGCCAGGTCTCACCATGTTGGCCAGGTTGGTCTAAAACTCTGGCCTCAGGTAATCCACCCACCTCAGCCTCCCAAAGTGCTGGGATTACAGTTGTGAGCCGCCGGCACCCAGCCTATGCTTCTTTAAATTCATTTGTTTTAGATTCTAAATTTAAGTGAGACCATGTGGTATGTGTACAAATGTAACTGGCTCATTTCACTTAGCATAATGTCCTCCAGGTTCATCCATGTTGTTGTAGAGGACAGCATTCCCTTCCTTTTTATGGCTCAGTAGTATTCCATTGTGT